TTCTTCTTCTTCCGAACTGCTTCCTGGAACTCGGATATTCTCCTGTATTGATACGAGTTCCGTAGGCGGTCAAGTGAACGTATATCAAAGAAGGCCTACTTCTCTCGACCCCAGTATACCCTCTTTGTGGTTGAAGCGGATTCAAGAGACAAACAAATGCAGTAATGTATTTAGGTACATATGGATCTAGTTGCATCATTAGTACATATTTTCTCTTGCTGCTGTAGGGAGCGCATTCGCTTTTCTGTAAGGTCACAATTATCAGAAACGACTTGACGGTTATAACACTACACGTTTAGTAGTGCTGAAAATTCAATTTCCAGGTAGTAAATCAGAAGGGAAAATGACGGGTTCGTCGGGCAAGGTTTCACTCCAAAATCCATCCATTGTTAAGAAAAGATCAAGAGGCCTTAATAGAGCTTAAACAGATAGCCCAGGTAGCTTCTTTACCCAATGACAAAGGTTGATTAACCGTTCTGATCGATAAGGTTGACTACCGAAGCAAAATCCGAACACTCCTCAGTGCTCGGGAGTCGTACAGAGTCAGCGACGCCGCAGGCCTAAAGCCACTACAGATAAAGGTTAGCAGGACCCTTGGGTCGACTAAAGAAAGAAAATTTCATCACCACGAAGGACTAGTAGATGGCTGAGCCCACCGAAGCAGCTTTATTACAATTCTACAGCCTTCCAAATTGCACAAGCTAGAGGGTCCCCAGCGGCCAATCGTCTCCCTCCGAGACACGTATACAAACGGCCTCACAAACTGACTATTCCAAAAGTTGAAGTTTCTCACATCACAAATTGAGGCAATTGTTCGCATCCCAGGTACATGTGTAGATAGAGAAGAAGAAGGAGTTGCGATCACCGGAATCATAAGTTATCACTGAGAACGATCGGCGCCTAATGAAACCCACAGATACTGCCCTGGCTCGCTTCTATGGCCTGCCAAAGGTGCATAAACCAAACGTCCCATTGCGGCCAATCGTTGCTCTAAAAGGCAGCCCCACCTATAATTTGGCAAAATGGATGTATTCAAAACTAA